TGCCCCCTGGCACAGTTGCCTCCTTTCTAAGGTGGGGCCAGCATATAGTCAAGCCATCATGGAGCTGCACTGGGAATGCCAGTCCTCTCTGTCCAGTCGTCCCGGGAGCCAGGGAGCAGCCCGTGGGCTGGGCCTACTGGGGCAGAGCTCCGTTCCACATCATGCTGTGCATCCCTTTCTAACAGTCACTGTAGTGACAGAGATGTAGCCGTGTTAGTCTGGTGCAGCTGAAACAAAAAACAGGACAGTGTAGCACTTTAAAGACTAACAAGATGGTTTATTAGGTGATGAGCTTTCGTGGGCCAGACCCACTTCGTCAGATCAAATAGTGGAAGAAAATCGGCACAACCATATATACCAAAGGATACAATCAAAAAAATGAACAAAGATAGCTTCCCCAATTATCACCTCTAATATCATTAGCTCACAGACATTTACCTCCCCCCCCATCCCCTTTCTGTTCTGAAATTTGATTTGTCCTTTTCATATGTGTTCATTTTTTTGATTGTATCCTTTGATATACATGGCTGTGCCAATTTTCTTCCACTATTTGATCTGAGGAAGTGGGTCTGGCCCATGAAAGCTCATCCCCTAATAAACCATCTTGTTAGTCTTTAAAGTGCTACACTGTCCTGTTTTTTGTAACAGTCAACCTGTGGAACTCCTTGCCACAGGATGTTGTGAAGCCCAGGACTTTAACAGGGTTCTGAAAAAAACTAGATAAGTTCATGGAGGATAAGTCCATCAGAGGCTGGGAATGGGCGACAGGGGAGGGATCACGTGATGATTCCCTGTTCTGTTCACTCCCTCTGGGGCCCCGGCCATTGGCCACTGTCGGCCGACAGGACACTGGGCTGGATGGACCTTTGGTCTGACCCAGCCTGGCCCTTCTGATGTTCTAACCCCGCCCCCTTGCCTCCTAGGGTGGTGACTGACAGCTGCTACCCCTTCACCAGCCGGGAGAAGGACAGCGCCCCCGCAGGCCTGCCCTGCATGATGCACAGTCGCTCCACGGCCCCGGCCATTGGCCACTGTCGGCCGACAGGACACTGGGCTGGATGGACCTTTGGTCTGACCCAGCCTGGCCCTTCTGATGTTCTAACCCCGCCCCCTTGCCTCCTAGGGTGGTGACTGACAGCTGCTACCCCTTCACCAGCCGGGAGAAGGACAGCGCCCCCGCAGGCCTGCCCTGCATGATGCACAGTCGCTCCACGGGCCGAGGGAAGAGGCAAGCCACCCAGCAGTGCCCCAACCCCCAGACCCACTCCAACGAGACCCAGCCTGGCCCTTCTGATGTTCTAACCCCGCCCCCTTGCCTCCTAGGGTGGTGACTGACAGCTGCTACCCCTTCACCAGCCGGGAGAAGGACAGCGCCCCCGCAGGCCTGCCCTGCATGATGCACAGTCGCTCCACGGGCCGAGGGAAGAGGCAAGCCACCCAGCAGTGCCCCAACCCCCAGACCCACTCCAACGAGATCTTCCCAGGAGGCAGCGGAGGGGTGGGGAGAGAGCTAACCTGGGTTAAAGCCCAGGGTCTCCCGAGCTACCCCCCTCCCGGTCTGGGGGTGACCCAGCCCTGCTCTGTGATTGCAGGAGAAGGAGATCATGAAGGAACTGATGAAGAACGGACCTGTGCAAGGTAAGGGATGCCCCCCGTTCCTCCAGCCCCTGCTGCAGGGAATCCCCTCCCCCATCTGACTCAGGCACAGACCCCCTGACCTCCCAGCCCCGGGGAGCCCCCTGCCTGTGCAGACCCTGTTACTAGTGGCTAGGCGATTGGCCTCCTTTTGGGCCAAGCCTCTTCCCCCACGTCTGTCCGGCAGCTGCCCTCTGCAGCCATCCCTGGCTGCATCCAGCGCCAGGACCTTGCTTTGGGCGTGGAGCTGGCGGGGAGATATTAGCCTGGCGTGCTGGGCTTGGAGGAACCCATCCGATCTTAGGCACTGAGAACTCTGCGACGCCAGGTGATTGTGAGGGCCGGCCGGCTGGAAAGTAGGGGACTTTCCCGGCAGAAACGTATCTGAGGCAGCAGCTCAGCGGGGTTTTGAGGGTCCCATCCTGTAGCAAGAGGAGACAGGAATTAGACGCAGCCTGGGCGTGAGTCTAGAGCCAGGACCTTTGTGCTGTGTTTGTACAGCTCCTAGCACAACGGGGTCCCAGTCTGTGACTGCGGGCCCCACAACCGTACAGAATAGAGACGGCGGCGTCAAAGATGATACCCAGACTATACACTTGAGTGAACTCAGTAATGCTGTTCATTAAGGGCTAGCCTGTTCCAGGCAGCGTACAGACACGAAGTCGCAGACTTACGGCTTTTTGTTTGTGCAAGTGTTTGTTTCAACATTTTAAAAAATTGTCCGTCGGTATTTAAATCTCTGGAGAGCCAGTTTCACGGACTATACCAAGGTCCTTGGTTTTCCGTTTTTCTTTTCTTTTCTGTACGGTAGTAGAGTTTCTTGAAAACATTTTTTTAAAAGGATCAGAAATCGGTGCCAAAAAATTCACTTCCCCCTTTTCTGGGTACCTATTGGAGGATGGGAGGACAGAAAAAAAAAGCAGCCAACAGAGAAAAGCAAAAGTATAAAAGTAAAAGCTGTGGCATATGGTGGTTTATTTCACAAATTGCACACTGTTCTCACGCATTGCCTGTCAAACTTTAACAGAGCCTCCCGTGTACACTTCATCTAACTTCTTACAACCTAAACACAACTCTCTGCTGTACTGGATTTTCTTAATGTCAATTTATTTTCCTGTTCTTGAGTGGACCTACATCTGGGTGAAAATCTCTAAAAACGGAGTGCTAGCTTTTGTGACACCTGGAACATGTTCAGTAAAAATCAGTAGATACTGAAAACCAAGGGCTGTAAGTGTGCCAAGCTAGGTAGTTGCCTCCAGGCCCTAGCTCAGCACTGCAGGTTACCACATGGGCTCACATGGGCAGGTGCCCGGTGACAGGAAGGGTGATGCTGTTTAATGATTAACAAACTGTAAAATTCTTCGGCTTGTTGAATGGATAGTAAAGCCACAGTTAAGCTGATTCATGGTCTCTGTGGCACAAGTCCGGCTCTCCCATCACGAGGACCATGTTCAATTATTAACTGCAGGTAGCTGATTGCAAATTCCTGTTGGCTTGATTTTTAATCTGCATGACCCTACGTTTTGCAAACGCTCCCTCTGCAAGACTGGCACAACAGCCTAACGGAGTGAGAGAAATCCTGCTCGAAAACCCGGAGACGTTCATCCCATCTGCACTAGGCTGCCATATGTTTTCAGCCTGGCTGACTTTCCATTGAGATAAGCAAACAAACAAGAAAGAACAAAAGTCAAGTCTGCTGGGGGCGAGAGCGTAGCGTGTGCATCTCAGCCCGAGCGAGCATGCTGCGGTAACTCCACCTCACACAAAATGCTCCAGGACATGTAAATGTGCGGTACACACAACCTCCTCCACCAAAGTCACCTAGCTACTGACACCACAGGCAGAGGATAAGAGGGGGCATCGGCCGGGAAGGGTGTCTGGTCTCAAGGAAGCAGAGTGAGCCCTGCACACCTAGATGATCCCTATCTGTCTCCTCGCCCCATGGTAACATTGTTCTCTCCTCCCCATCTACAGCCATTATGGAGGTTCATGAGGATTTCTTTGTGTACAAGAGCGGGGTTTATCGGCACACGCCAGTGACAGCTGGGAAGCCGGAGCACCACCGGAGACAGGGCACCCACTCGGTGAAAATCACAGGGTAAGGAGGGCCGGTTGCTGCCTCTTGCGCTGTAGCTGTTTTTGTGTGTGCGTGCACGTGCCTGCCAGACGTGTTGGGCAGGGTTACCTGGTTCTGGGGACGGAGAAGGGGGCGTGGGCGACGGCTGGGAGTTGGTGGGGTGTCCAGGTGTGTCGGGAGGGCGGGTCTGGTGTTCCCAAGCGCTGTGCAGGCGTGGGCACCGAAAGGAACGTGAGGGGGTGTTGGTATTATGGGGCGGTGTCACACCGAGGCACTGGGCGGTTTGCCAAAGGGGCAGGGTGCTGTGTATGCGGGGGCGTTCGCCGGCTGGCCTGCGAGTGGCATTGAACGCGTGCCAGGCCGGCGCTGTCTCTAGAGTGAGGAACCAAAGCCCTGTGGGGCCAGGCAGGGAAAGCAGAGGCAGATGGGCAAGGCTACTCCCCTCTGCGGGGAAAGCGAAAGTTTTTCCCCAGGCTGTGCCCCAGGGAGTCTCCGGGAACCACTGCCCTCAGTGGGGTGGGGGCTGCCTAGCAGCTCAGTCTCCCTCCAGAGCCAGCCTACCCAGCC